CTATGCTATCCATCCTTCCTTCCTTCCTTCCTTCCTTCCTTCCTTCCTTCCTTCCTTCCTTCCTTCCATCCATCCATCCATCTATCTATCTCAAACTTCATCATTAGATGTTTTATGGCAGTCTCCTATCTCATGCTCCATCTTATAGCGGACAAGCCAACAATGACTTCCAGGAACATTGCAAAATATTACACAATTGTTATTGCAGTTCACACAAGACTGATATAAACACTGTAGAACACAACTTTTCACCCTAGAGACCTTCTTAACTACTTAATTTCTTAAGCAGAGTCTTAAGCACTTTTATGTGCATTCTCACACTTTACTATATTTTTCTAGGATTATTTCTTAACTATTCTAATGTTTTAGCAATTATTAAATTAGCACTCTAGTCTCACCTTAGGCACAAAGCCAGCTGGGTGACTTCGAGCCAGTCACTCTCTCTCAGCTCTAAGAAGAAGGCAATGCAAACTACTTCCAAAGAACCTTGCTAAGAAAACTTCAGGGACTAAACCAGGCAGTCGCCAGGAATCAAAATTAATTTGAAGGCTATATTATAGCAATATAGGTAGTCCTCACTTAACTACCACAATGGGGACCAGAAAACTGGTTGTTAAGCAGGGCGATTGTTAAGCAAATCAGACCCAATTTTACAACCTTTTTTGCAGTGGTCGTTAAGTGAATCACAAAGTTGTTAAGCAAATCACACAGTTCCCCATTGATTTTGCTTGCCAGAAGTCAGCTGAGAAGGTCGCAAATGATGATCACGTGATCTGGGGATGCTGCAACCATCATAAGTGTGAGCTGGTTGCCAAGCACCTGGATTGCGATCACATGACTGCAGGGATGCTTGGACGGCCATAACTTCGGGCACCAGTCATAAGTCACTTTTTTTAGCACCGTTGTAACTTCAAATGGTCACTAAACAAATGGTTGTTAAGCGAGGACTACCTTTATAGGACTACCTGTACTTATTTTAACATTTAACGTTTAAGAAATTCTGCAATTTTAGTTCTTATTGGATCTACTTCTGCATTTCAGTCTTAACATGGTTTCTTTTTACTCTGTGCAATTTGCTTAGCTAGTTTTTATCTTATTGTTCTTTTTTACTTCCATAACTTTTATTATAGAATTATGTTTAAATCTGGTCACTGTCTCCAATAAAGGCTATTATTATTATTAACAAACAATTTAGAGGACAGTAACAGGAGATTCAGCAAGATCTCGATAAACTGAATCAATCAGCAGAAATCAGCAATATGAATTTCAACAAGGGCAAATGCAAAGTCCTATGTTTGAATAGGAAAAAAAATCAAAGGCATTATAGGATGGGGAAACCATATTAGACAGCAGCACATGTGAAGAGATTTGGGTGTTCTGGTGGATATAAGCAGAACATGATCCTAAAGTGTGATGCAGCTGCAAAACAAAAACAAAAACAAAACAAAACAAAACAACCAGGTCTTAGGCTGCATCAATAGAAGTATAGTATCAAGGTCAAGAGACGTCGTTGTTCCTCTCTATTCCGTGTTGATCAGATGATATAATGGCACTTAGAATACTTCATCCAGTTCCAGGTACCACATTATAGGAAGGACAATGACAAATTAGACCATGTCTGGAGGAGAGCAACCAAGATAAGGAACCTGGGAAAAAATGAGGAATGACTGAAGTCACTGAGTATATTTAGTCTGGATGAGAGAATACTGTGTGGAGATAGCTGTCTTCAAGTATCTTAAGGGCAGTCGTGTAGGATAGACTAATTCAGTGTAATTACAGAAAACAAGAAACAATGGGTTGAATTTGTAAGAAAGCAGATTTCAAATGGACATCGAAAAGTCTCTCCTAATGGTAAGAGCCATTCAACAGTGGAACAGACTCCTCATGACGTAGTGGACTTTCCTTTACTAGCAGAATTTACACAGAGATTTACAACAGATGGCCATCTATTGGTGATCCTGTGGTAGTGGATTCTTGCACTGGACAGACAATTCGAATAGATGATCACTAAGATTCCTTCCAATTCCTACATTCTATGCTTCTATGACATCAGCAAAAATTTTGTACTG